AAAAAAAAAAAAAAAGCCAGATAGTAACTGTGTTGTTTTATGGTAGACAGTCTGTCAGAACTAATCAACTAACTCAGTACTGTAGTGCAAAAGTAGTCAGAGGCAATACATAAATGTGGGTACAGCTGTGTCCCAATAAAACTTTATCAAAAGCCGCTAATTGGGACTCCGAGTCAGGGCTATTTCTGGCGTTGGCGCCGCTCCAGGAAGGCATCTTCTTTTGCCACCAGCGGCGGCCGCAGCCGGGGCAAGCGGGTCCTCAGCGCCCAGCACCATCGCTCGCGGCAGCCCGCAGCGCACACCGCAGGCCGGCGGCCGAGCTCGCGGATCCCAGCCATCACTCTCCACCTAATCGGAGAGAAGGAAAGGTGAGCGAGTCGAGCTCCAAGTCCAGCCAGCACCTGGCCTCTAAGCAGGAAAAGGATGGGGCTGAGAAGCGAGGCCGGGGCAGGCCCCGCGAGCAGCCTCCAAAGGAGCCCGGTGAAGTGCCAACACCGAAGAGACCTCGGGGCGACCAAAGGGAAGCAAAACCAAGGGTGCTGCCAAGACCTGGGAAACCACCACAACTCCAGGAAGGAAACCAAGGGGCAGACCCAAAAACTGGAGAAAGAGGAAGAGGAGGGCACCTCGCAGGAGTCCTCAGAGGAGCAGCAGTGACCGTGCCTGCCGCCAGCTCCCTTCCCTAGGAGCCGCTTCCTTCTGCGACTGGACAGAAGTCCTCCCACTGCCCTGCCCCTCCCCCCAGGCCAGGACTCCCCTGGCTTTAAAAGGGGCCCAAGCCCCATCTCATTCTGGCATGCCCCACACCACTGTCCTGACAACAGGTGTGGCCAATGGAGGGGCCTGCTTGGCCCCTGGCCAGCCTGTGTCTTTGTCACCATGTTGGGCTTACGCCCACTTTTCTTCCTTCCCTAGTCTCTGTACTAGGTTGGACAGCCCCTTAGGGCACAGCAAGAAAGGTGGGATGGATATGAGCCCCTCTCCCCCTTCCGAGATCTGAGACTATTTGAATGCTGGGGGCGCAGTCACCCCTTTTCCAGGAGAGGCCCAGATTCCCTGCAGCAGCCACCTAAGGTGGGTCTGTTTGCCCTACTCTACCTGCTCCTACCCTCTTTGCAGCCAGGGCTCACCATGCCCACACTCCACCCTCCTGCTCCTCCCTAACTCCCAAGGTTCTGGTTCCATCTTTCTTCTGTTCATAAACTACCTCTGGGCAGTTGTGTTGTTTTTTGTTCCATGTTCCATTCAACGTAGTCATTCCTGCTACCAGCACCAAATGGTCATCCTCATTGCCTCTTGTTCTGCCCACATCACCCCCTCCCCCAAGATACTCTTTATGGGGCAGGGGGGCTGAGGCACAGTAGGCTGACCACTCCAGTCCCAGGGAAGGTGGGGCCCTGCCCCAAGGATGCTGCAGCAGAGTGAATAGGGAGGCCTAAACTAACCATGAAGGGTATAGGGGCCACCTTCTCCCCCTGTTGGGGAGGGGGTGGCCATTATTTGTCCCAGCTGGGGGCTTCCCATCTGGTTTCCTATTTGCAATTACTTAAATAAAACAAATCCTTTTCTGGAAAAAAAATTTATCAAAAAAACCCTGAATTTTATATAAAATGAAATATTATCCTTTTCTGATTGTTTTTAAACCATTTAAAAATGTAAAAATGGGTCCAGCATGATGATTCACACCTGTAATGCCAGCACTTTGGGAGGCAGAGGCAAGAGGATCCCCTGAGCTTAGGAGTTGGAGATCAACCTCAGTAACATAGCCAGACCTCATATCTACAAAAAGAATTTTAAAAATTATGCATGTGTGTTGGCATGTGCCTGTACCATTACTCAGCAGGCTGGGGCAACAGGATTGCTTGAGCCCCACAGTTGGAGATTGCTGTGAGCTAGGCTGGTGCCACACTTAGCCTGGGCAACAGAGACTGTTTCAAAAAAAAAAAAAAAACCTGGCCATGTTAAACCCACATGATTAGCAAATCTTGTTGCCTACAAAGCACTTCCTAACATATGACCACTCCACACTCTCTTCAAGAGGCCATAATCTCTCTCCTAGAGCAACACAGTTGCCTCTCTGGAAGACATAGGATGCTGGGAAATGAGCCAATTGAGAGGAAGTGTTCAAATGAGGACGTGTTTCCCTTGCCATGATCTTCAGTAAAGAGGACAAAGTTCTGGAATGGAGATTTAAGAATTCTTACTATTCATATTCTGAGGGGCCTCAGAATCCTTTTCCCCCCTCCACTCACCCCCACACCTCTGACAATGAGGGACAAGGCCTGGCTGCCTCACACTCACCAGGCTCCCCGCTGCTGCTTCCCTAGGCAGTGGGGGACACCTTCCATCTCTGTCTGGACCCCTCCTCCCACCTTTCCTTTCTCCACACTTGTCTGCATTTAGGGTCTGGAAGCACCATGGGCCTCCTAGGAGGGTCCCTTCTTTCCAGAAGCCCGTTTTCCCTCAACTCAGAGCAGCCTGACCAAGTTCCCAGTCTAAGACAAGCAGTTCATGAAAGAGCTGTCCTGCATTTCAGGCTCCTTCACTAGGCTGGGCCTCCCCACACCTCAGCAGGAAGCTTGCCCCCCCGAGAAGCTCCTTCCAGGAGGACTGAGTTTATCCAAAGGAAAGATGACAGCACATCAACGGTGTGGTGTAGCAGGCGGCTGACTTTATTGGCAACTTTGCCAGTAGAACAGAACACTTTCTTACATTTAGGAGACTTCCCTCAGACACACACCTAGAAGGCCTGAGAGGGACGGGACTGGACTCACTAAGTCAGTCTCCCACCAGTGCCTTTCATGTCTTTCTCAAAGGCTAACCCAACACTTCCCCCCACAGTCCAGCTCCCTAGGGGAAGTCAGTCCTTTTTCATGGATAGAGTGAACTCAGATGGACTCCCCTACAACCAATCAGTTGGAAAGGAGAAGCCTGAGGGACATCAAGAGAGATAGTTGCACTGATTCTGGTAGCCAAAGATAAGTCTCCGATGTTGGGCTCTGTGCTTGTAGAGGTGGCCAGGTCAACCTGGGTCAGGGGCTGGCTCCGGACCCGTCGCAGCATCTC